ATGCTACATATTAATCTAGTATAGTTATTATTATTGCTTAATACTGGCCTAACTCTAGTGTTCCGCAATATGGGTTCGAGATTCAAATTCGATCCGGATACGATCCGCAAATCCATTTCGAATCCCATAATTTACAGACCCTGCGGATCCGAATCCAAAGAGAGATTCGATCGAATAATATTCGACTCGGATCCATTGTTATTACCGAAATACGCAAACGCCAAAACTCTGATTTCTTGTGATCTTTTTTTTTTTTTTTGAAAAGCATATAAAATACTACTATTCAAATACATCAAGCTAATAGTGCCAGATATCGAACTTCATTGAATGATTTTAACATAAATGAATGTACAGCATAAATTAATAGGATTGTGCGTGTGTCAAGAAGATTCAGGTGCTTCTTGTGGACTGTAGCACATTTATTTCTTATTGTTATGCTTGTTTCTGAAATGAGGTTACGATTAGTACGTAATTAGATCAAGTTCCAAATTAAGCAGCTAATTAAATATACTTACCATATAATCGCGAAATTACGTTATTTTGAAAATCGGGTGCTTCAAAAATAATTTATATGGTCTCGATTAGCGCTCATGAGCGTCTCGAATTAACGCGCATCCTAATGTAACACATAATTTATAGTTGCGATAAATATTTTATAAGTGCATTTTACACTTTCCCTATAATGATAAGTGCTCATAATTTGATCGGTCTAATGTAATTATTTAATATTATATGTAGATTTATTCTCCATAACTGAATAAGTAACTGCGCGACATTGTCTGCTAAACCAGGAACGGATGAATATAAGCCTAATTTAGAAAATGTTGATTAACTCCAATACAGAATAGTTATATATAGTTTTGAATTTAGATAAATAAAATATCGGGTATACAACTAAATACGGCATAACTATACTGATATTGAGACACTATAATTTAAATAAACATTTGAAGATTTTTAGATGTATATAGTATAGAATGTAATATACCTCTTTAAAAACATAACATACCAATCCACTAATTTAACCCTAATAATACATAACGCCAAATAGATATTAAATATAAGGGTATTTCACACCCCATACCGTACAGATCTGGTTATACTAATATGCATAATAAACATGATAATTATACAGACTAATGTGGATAAGAAGCTAAATGAGAGCTCATATTAAATATTTAGATCAATTACCAATAAATAATCACTAAACTTAGAGACTAAGGGTGCTCTCAATGTGATTAACTAGCTACCGAGATCGTGCATAAAGTACTATGATTAATTGAAGCGATCCTTGATAAATTTTATAATTATACGATGAATTAATATTCAAAAAAATATAAGTTCTGATTTTTTTTAAATATTAATTTATAAAAATAGGCTTAAATTTTATTAAGATGTAGGTTGTAAAACTTAAAAGATTGATTTTTTATATTAACCTGCTTTATTTCTATTGGTAATAGCCTATTTTTATAGTAAAGAAAACTTTAATAATACTTCTATAAAATCTAGACATATGCTATTATATAGTAGGCATATAAAATGTATTAATTTTTATTGTTTTATATATTTGTGTAGGTATTTTAAACAAATAATAATATATATATAATTATTAAATTTTTTATCATCTTAAATTTACAATTAATTATTATATTATATAATAATATATCAAATTACAGTAATAACAATATAAATATCCAAAATCTTATAAAGTATCTAATTGTTATATTTGCTACTTCATCAAAAAAAACTATATAAAAAGCTATTGATAAGATGTAAATATGGTTATAGTGTAAAAACCAAAAACTACAAATAATAAAAAATTTTAAAATAATTATTTACAAAAATAAAACTTATAGATAATATAAAAAATTATTAAATATGAATAGCTAATTTGATTTATAAATTATCAGGAATTTTTAAAATTTTGATAATTTGTTTATGTTTCTTGTTAGACAAATTTTTGTAATATCTAAATATTATATTATAATTGTATATTGGGAATATTTTCATAATTTTATTTATTATAATAATTTGTTATAGACTATTACTACATTTTCTTCAATTAATATATTAAACTACTTTTTTCTCTTATCTTCAATTCAAGAAAAATATTCGACAATTACTATCTTTCTACTTTTTCACTTTTGCTTTTCTCCTCTAATCTATAAATTTTATATATATTATCTTACTAGACTTTTAAATCTAACTATACAATAGCTTATTTACAAAAATTTATTAATATTTGGAAAATCTCTAATACAAGCAAATTTGTCATATTTTAACCTTTGATATAATCCTTAATATCTATGTTATTGTCCTATTTCAAATCATATATACTCCAAACTAACAGAAAACTCCTTAAAACCTTATCTGATCACCCAATTCCAAAAATAAAATTATATAAAGTACAACAAACAAATACTCAATTAGCAAATTTAACAATGTACCTTGTTATAGTAAAGTGGATAAAGCATACAACCCTAATCAAGTTAGATATTTGAATTTTGCTAATAACTTGTCAACCCTGCTGATGGGTTATGGTAACATTACTGGTACTTTAGCAAACCTCTCTTTTTCTTTTATTATATTTTTATAGAACTATTTTATTTTTTTATCTACAATAACTACTGTAAAGTCCCGAATATAAGCAACCCCTTAGATTTTAACATTAAAATATGAAAAAAGTAAAATAAGCAACCCTATAAGTGAAATAAAATTATGAGTAATTTTTATCAATATTAGCCAATAGAATTAAGTATTTCAAAAGTTACTCAAATTAAATAATCTTTCTAAAAAAATCAGCCAAAATGGGTGGCTTAGAGGGTTGCTTATATTTGGGACTTTACGGTATATATATATTATATTATTTAAATACTATTCTATATTATTAAGAGCCTCCTCTCTTTTATAAAACTAATAGTAGCTTAGCTTAAATTAGTTTACAAGTAGAGAATTCAGAGGTGTATGTCACGCCAAATAGCTTATGCAATATGGGCGTTGTGGAAAATAATTAATCTCAGCTTCTTCTAATATTCATGTAATATTGTCTAAATAAGCTTTGTAATTTTCTACCGACATATTAAAATAAAATAAATAAATAAAGTTATGTATTATATCTAAATCTGGAATGTTGTAAACATATATATAACAAGTGGAATAACAAAAGAGTAGACAGAGAAAACGGTTAATAGAATAACACACACAATCCGGCCACTTAAATAATTATAGTTTCCAACTATCATTAAACCCAAATCTTCAATAAACATCCATCCAGCACAACCTATGTTGTGCCCGAAGCTAATCTGCGCTCTAGGGCATAATTCTCTCCTGTGTTGATGATTTTGCTGGTGTACATGTCTTTCGAATGTTTCGATGATTTGATAATAGGTTTAATTTTATCGGCTTCTAAGAATTGTTTCTTGATTTCATTATCATCATCTTGATTAATCTCGTCAAGCCAATGTCCAATTTTGTTAACAATAATAGTTGCCGTGGGCCGCTTATTCTGGTCTCCATCCATACATCTCTCGGCCAATTTAACGTAAAGATCAGGTGTTCCTTCTTTCTCAAATTCTGGTCTTTTTCCCCGACAAATTTTAATCGCAAGACCACCATCGAAAGGTTCACCATCAAATACACTTCTTCCAGTTGATATTTCAGACATGATGACTCCAAGGCTATAGATATCAGCCGCTTGCGTGAATGGTTGACCTCTCAGAACTTCAGGCGCTACATATGGCAAAACACCATTAATTTCTCTTTCTTGACTTATGTTAGACGATATCGAAAATCCCAGATCCGTAATGTATGCACTGTGTAAATAATCTTGTAGAATATTTCCAGAATGTAAATCCTGATGAATAAATTCCTGAGAATGAATTGCTTCAAGGTCTGAAGCGATGCAATACAAAAGATTCAATTTATCTTTCCATTTCATTTGTGCTACCTCGCAAAGATTTTCGCGCAATGAGCCTTTACTCGCATATTGCAAAACGATAATATAATTTTTAGAGGCATCGTCTCTTGATATTCCATAAAATCTTAAAAATGATGGGTTTCCGTATCTGATCTCACAATGTTTTTTCAACTATTATTAAATTAGACAAATCTTTTTAGATAAAAAAACATTAACATTACTTTATTAACAAATTTTTGATTGCATTAATATTACCTCATCGACAAATTCTTGATCGCATTTGTTTGAATCACGAATCAATTTAAGTGCAATAGGAGTCCAAAATTTTCTATTTTTATTAAGCCAATACGCATAATATACGGTTGAAAATCCACCTTTTCCTATCTCCTTTACATTCTTAAATTCGTTATAAGGAATCCATGATAGTTGATACTTTTCATCGTTTAATATATTTTTCAAATTATCATCAATGTTCTCACATGACAATTTGTTTGTCCTTTTTATATATCTTTCCATTCGATACCAATAATTGGCTTTTTGCATGTCTCTTGGCACACCGATTCCATTTCGATAACAGTCACCAACTTGTAAAATTCCTGCAGCGTCTCCCATTTGTGCAGATTTTTTAAAATATTCAAATGCTTTCTTTTCATCCTTTTTGACCCCAATTCCTTCCAAATAACAATATCCAGTATTTAATGTTCCATTAACGTTATCCATCTCAGCTGATTTTTTAAAATATTCAAATGCTTTTTTTTTATCCTTTTTGATACCGATTCCTTCCAAATAGCAACAACCAACAGCAAATATCCCATCAGCGTCTTCCATCTCTGCAGATTTTTGATAGTAAATGAATGCCTTATATTCATCTTTTTCAACTCCTAATCCTTCACAATAACAGTTACCAAGCATAAATGTTCCTTTAGCGTCCCCCATCCCTGCAGAGTTTTGATAATCAATGAATAAATTATGTTCAAGGACAAAAGATTCTAAATTAGTTAATTAAATTAAAGTATAGTATAAATTTACATTTAATATTCGAATGTGGGTTATTGCTAGTCTTTAATCAATAAATCAAAATAAGCTATTTACCTTCAAGTTTAAAGGAGTATATTTGAGTTACATATCTTCTATCTATTTAAAATTGTAGCTAAAATTGATAACTCATTTTCGGAAAAATTATATATGACAATATACTACAATCTTACCAATATACTTTTTCTCATGCTCACATTTCTTTTCAGGTTCTTTTTCAGGGTCCTTCTCTTTCTTGATGCCAATTCTTGAATCGCCTGGATTTAGAATTTAACAATTTATAAGATAAATAAAGAATATACTTGGAAATTTATACTATTAGAATGATATATTTAAAGTCATAAATTTAAAGTCTTTCTGTAACAGATCTATCAGATTGCCGTCTGTTGCAGATATTTCAGGCTTAATGGTAGATAGTAAAGGAAAGAAATATAGCTTGCTCCTTGTAAGATTTTTGATCATTAAAAAATTAAAACTTACCATAATTTGAATCATTTGATTCGGAATCTATTTGATTAAACGAAATAAATTAACGTACATTTTAATTTTAATTATAAGAATTTAACTAAATTATAGATCTAATTTTACCTTCTGTACTATCCAAGGAAGGATTCTCAAATACTAAAATTTGAATTTACGTTAATCATTCAAATTAAATTCTTTAAATTTAACTTTATCGTTATCAAACGACTAATTACTTGGTTTATATCTTGGAGGATATAGATATTCGAAGCCCACTATTTTTTGGCCACATTGGATGCAAAGTTTATTAGTCATTTCTTGTAAAGACCTTAGATTCTTAAGCATTTTTTCGTATTCTTGTATCAATAACGATAAATTCGGCCTCTTTTTTGGATTTTTATCCCAACATCGTTCCATTATATTTTTATAACCCTCTGGAGTCCCCTCTATGACTTTTGGACGAAGCCCCTTACAGATTTGTGTAGCTAAACGTATATTATGAAGTCGGTTTGAAAATGGCCTATTAGAGGATGTTAGTTCCCACATAATTATTGCTAAACTATAGATGTCTGATTCCTTTGTACACTTTTCGCCACAGAGAACTTCTGGTGCAATATAAGGCAAAACACCAATAATGCCTTCTATTTCTATGAAAAAAAAATTGATTTAGTATAATAACCGTAATTTTAAATTAAGCTTGAACAATATAAATACCTGATGAATCTGAAAACCCAAAGTCGCGAATAAATATTTTTGTTTCGTCGTCAACGAGGATATTTCCGCAATGAAAATCACAATGAATTATATTTAATTCGTGAAGTGCATTTAAAGACTTCGCAATTTTAGAAAGAATTTCTACTCTCTTTGGCCATGTTAGTTCAGACTTATCAATAAATTTCCTGAGATCACTATGAATTGCGTGTTTCATAACCATCGCATAGTCTTTAGTTTCTGGATGTATCGTTAAACCATAGAAAGGTACAGCATACTCTCCAAGAAGTTGATAAATTTGATAATTTATTCTGAACTATAACAAGCGATTTAAAAGGTATAATAATTTATTATTGCATACTTGTAAATAATAAAGTGTAATTGAATTGATGTTATAATTACTTCATTAAGAAATGTGGAATTAAAATTTTTCGATCCCTTCAAAACTTTAAGGACAATATCAACATTTACTAATTCTTTATCATCGACAACTTCATCTTGTTTTAATGGTTTCCATTTACCAATTAATAATTTCGAATAACGCCCTTCTGAAATTGGAATATCATTTATTTTAATATCCGTAAAAGGAATCCATTCGATAAAATCGTCGCAATGTTTTTTGTTAGATATTGTATCTTGAATAAATGTGTCAATATCTTTATTTCCACTTGATAAAAATGGTTTATTAGAAAGTAAATTAGTTCTACATAATTTTTTTGTAAATCCGATCACCTTTTGTTCGCAATTATTACAGAAAAAGGTTTGATCCATTCTTCACCGTTATCGAAAAATTCTATTACCGGATACGCTCTTCTTTTATGTAAGTTAACTATTTGTGCTTCCGAATTTTCCCGACTATTATAACACTTTTCTTACAGTCTTGAAGTAATCCTAATCTCAAGACGCTTATTTGTACAACATTCGCGCATATAAATTCATTTGTCACAACCTTTGCCAATTGGAATTCAATTCTATTTTTTGTGACCCGTTGTTATGATATAAAGCTGATAGTCAGGGGTTATAAATTTAGTATGAAAAATATTAATTTAAGATCTGTTAGTATGAATATAAATGAATAAATGCTTTATCCGAAGTCATGTATTTAAAGAGGACTGGAGGACCTAAAGATCTTTAATAAAGACTAGAAGTTGTACGCTTTTTAACTCTTTTCAAATAAAAGATTATTTGTCATAAATCGTCTAAATTAATAAAATTGTCTATTTACTTTCCTAACATTGTGAAACGTTGCATTAGTATATGTGCTATCTCGGTTAATTTCGATAAATCTTAATTGATACAGTAATAATCACTTTTCGTTATATCAATTCCAACAAATTTCAGGGCTATTAGAACATGTTATTCACTGGGTGTCATTACCCGACTTAGGTAGCGCACCCACAAAAATTGCCCCGTAATTTTTACTGTGAATAAAACGTTGAGCAGTTGTGTTAGGGTTAGGGCGATAGAATTTCTACTAATAAAATTCCACAAGGAGCATTTTTAATTAGGCCGCAGAAGGTGGTTTCTTAATTTCCGGGCATGTCCCTATACATATACCAGATAGATGAAAAGTCTCTAAGGAACCTTTTTTCTAATCACTAAATTATGCATCTTTGTTGTCATTTAGTTATTCTATAAAGTTATAAAAAAATTTATAACATTAGCAGTGATAATAAAAAGGTTCTATCTAGGACTTTACTCACTTTCATATACTGTACTATACTATTATAACTGAAGATATCCACTAGTTAGTAAAATAGATAGCCAATCAACGCACATATTGGGGGATATCAATAGAAACCAAGCAAATTGTTTCTAAGTAAAATTTTTTCAACTTTAAGTTAAAATATCTTAGCAACTATTAAACCAAACTTCTATATAGTTATAGAATTAAAATAAAAAAAATTTATCAAGTTTGGTTTAATAGTTGTTGAGATATTTTAATTTAAAATTTCAAAAAAAACTCACTAAAACAATTTGTTTGGTTTCCATTGACACCCCATATATTATTATGTGATAAGGACATGCACCTCATGCCCTGGGTCACCGTGCCCAACCCTACTTAATTAAAATTTGTAAAAAAATGGGTTCACATCGATTGTTTACGTTACACCTATAGTTTCTAGACGAAACCTAGTTTCGTCTTTTGTCAATTAAAATCTTAAAATGACGAAATGACAAACTGATGAAAGGTGATGAAACTGACGAAACTGTAAAGGGTGACAAACCTAATGAAAGACGAATAAATAAATGGGGTCTTTGCCTTGAAAATGACCTTACGGGACTACCGTAAAAGCGCGAAATAACGCGCAGGGGTGTAATTTCGAAGTTTGGCCTAAATTAAGCCTAATTCGGGCCATTATTCAAAATAGCGCCCCTGCGCGTTATTTCGCGCTTATATGGTATGTAGATTTTATTAATAAAAATTAAAATTTCAAATAAACTTTTTTATTTATAAAGCTTAGTGAGTTCTAAAAAAAAAATTATTTGAATTAGATTAATTAGGTGGGCAGAAATTTTAATTTTTGTTCATAAAATCTACATAGTCCCGTAAGGTTATTTTCACCAAATGTTGAAAATATTTAAGATTATGTGTATAAAAAAATAAACTAATAAAAACAGAAATTTATAAAAATTACAAAAAATTTTATTGTATAATAGGCGCTTGAGTTGTTTAAAGGGAGTTAGAAATGAGTATTTTATATTGTATTATACTAGTACACTACATATCAGTTATAGTCAGAAGTCGCTTGGTGCTTACTTTGTGATCTTACAAATTTATTTTGTGCCAGTATTTTTAATTCGCTATTTGTGTTATTCCATGTTTGTCTATAACAGCCCTAGCTTGTCCAGAAAAAATGAACTGGCTTATTTTTGCTAGCATACATATAATTTCGGTAGTGAATTGCCTCGATTGTATAATCCTCTATCGTTGGTCGATTATCTTGATGATCGAGCACGATGTTATGGGCTCGATCAAAAGTGAGTCAATCAATAATCGATTATGTT